GCCGGCCCGCTCACCAAGAGACTTGCCGCTCGGCTGGGCCTGTGAGTACGCCGGCGGTGCGGCGCGCTCTCGCCCGCGCGCAGGTACGTCACGCCCACGTCACGCCAGACGCCGGAGCGGCCGGCGAACGGGGTCGCGTCCCCGTCACCCGAGCCAGCCGTTGGCTGCACTGCCCACCCGCCGAGCCGCAGGAACCAATGTATAGGCGATGGCATAAGGGTTTCTCGTTATCTCCTGCGAAAGCCGGTCCCATATTGTCACAGTGTGGTGCTGCGCCGGCCCATGGTGTGGATCTAGAGCGTCTAGCGTTGCTGGCAAGATGATTGGCCTGTTCGTTCCCTGCAGTTGAGCCGATCGTGGACAAGCCGGTGGTCGAGCAGCAGGACTTCGCGTGCGCGGACCCGGACTGTAACAAGAAATTCCGCAAGGAGAGTTTACTTCAGGTGAGTAGTCGCTCTGGTGACCGCCAGTCTGCTGATTGGCTCTACTGGCGAGTCTATCAGCTGCTAGCCTGCTGATTGGCTCTACTGCCGGGTAGTCTTACGCCCTATGCGCTCATATCCGGGTGGTCTTTGATGTGTAGAAACAACAAACTCGCCGTTCTTTTGTCATGGCGTGGTCGGCGTGCCTTACAGCCCCCATCATCATCATTATTTTGTCGTGGTGAGACATTGAAGTGATTGATTATATGTTTAGCTGTGGTGGAGTTTTGGCGTGAGTTCCAGGTGTGACGGCAGATGCACGCTCCACGCGGGGGACTCTGGGCGTGAACACCTCTGGTCTCTCCAGATGCACATCAAGCACTACCACCCGGAGCTGCGGCACCTGGTGAATGTTCGGGCCGCGAGCGTGGTACGGCTGGCCGAGACACGCTCCATGCAGCATGACCTTGCCCCGGCCGACGAGGCCGTCGCCGAGCCGCCCGGCCGCTCTGCCGGCCGGCTGGCCGCCGCCAGCGAGTCCACGTGGGCGGCGGGGGGCGGCCGTGAAGTGCAGCGCAGCAGCAGCGGCGGCGGTGAGCGGGCGTTGGCGGCGTCGCCACCTCCGGAGCCGCCGCCGCCGCCGCCAGCCGCCGCCAGCCCGCCGCCGCCGCTGCCGGCCAGCCTGCCCGAGGATCCGAAGCTGCTCACGACACCGGTGGTGTCGGTGAGAGCGGAGGAGCGCGCGCTGACCGACTCCCTGCACAGCCCCTCGGCCGAGACCAAGGTCAGTGGAGGCGGCGCGGCACGCACTTCGGCCCAGTGTGCGCAATCCCTCTGCGAGACTTATGATTATGTGCATGCGCAGAACCTGTGTTACTCAGCAGAGACTGAACAGATTGGCCAGGCCGCTGCGGCTGGCCTAACCAGCCGCGTGTGTCGCCCCTGACCGGACCAAACGCTGTGTGTAGTACCTACTGACAGACGGGTTAGCTGCCTCTGGCCAGGGCATCTATATGTTTCCAGGGGGGGGGGGGGGGGGGAGACGGGGAGAACATCAGTGCACGAAACTGGTAAGACCGCTGCGCTGTATGTGTCGTCCGGACGGATCTGATCGTGCCTGCGCGCGTTCCGCCGCTGTTAAGCTGACATGCGGTGTCTGCCGGCAGCCGGCGTCGGCCGGGTCGGCGCCGGGCCGCAGTTTCCGTCGGCCGCGGCGCCGCCAGCCGACAGCCGACGAGCCGGAGCTGGCCGAGCTGATCCAGATCGTCCCCGCTGTCGATTCGGCGGCCAGAGCGGCGCGCCGGCCGCCGGCCGAGGCGCGCGCCGCCCGCCGCCCGCCCGAGCCCGGCCACCTCTCCTCCGACCCGGGCGGTGAGTGTGCTGTCTGCCGGCGCGCGCTGGGCCAGACGGGAGATGGGGTGTCGGCGCGCGCTGACTCCAGAGCTGCGCTGGCGCCGGCTGCTGGGGATGGGCCGGTTGCCGAGGTAGTCCGTGCAGCTGGCGCTGGAGAGGCGGCTCGCTTTCTGTCGCGTGCTGACGTCGACGCTCCCCTGTGTGTCCCGCTTGTGATAGGCTGTTCACCGGATAGCATGGCCCTTGCCAGCTGTCTCCAGTGACCCGAATTTGTCAGCTGTCGGTCGGTGCGTTGGTGCTGATCTGCCGGAGAATAGGCCGACGCCTGATGTTTGCGGACTTGGAGCTATGTGCCTGCCGGCCGCTATGCGGCGGACTGGCTGACTAGAATGTTTGTGTGTGGCCGGCAGATGGCTCTGGCGTGCTACAGTTTTACTCCACGCTGGAGGATGCGGGCCCGCCTGGCTCGCCGGCGCTATCCACCGTGTCTGTGCGCGACACAGGTGAGAGCCAGCCTCCGTCCGGCAATCAGAGCTGGCCACTCCTGCCTCCACTGGCGTTCTTTGCACCCAAGGGCACTGGATCTGGACGAACGCTCGTTTGTGAATGGATTGCCACCATTGTGGACAATTGCTATGCAGTGCGTTCTTTCAGAGTGATCATATCATGCATGCCGAAGTCGTGGTAGCGTGTGCTCCCCCCCCCCCCCTCGGTTTGTAGATCTTGAATCGAGAACATGTTGACCCTTTGGAGCATGTTTTCCTTTTCGCAACAAAAGCTGCCTTCTCTATTGGTCGTTGTCTTCCACGTGTGTGCGTTGTTGTATAATCTGAATGTTTTCTGTCATGGCCTTTGTCTGCGTCTGCACTGCCATCCGCGGTATTGCATCTGTATGCCGTTGTGTCTGTCGTCTGGTTTCAGTGGTCGGCTGGCGTGGTTGATGGACAGCCGATACGGTGGACTCTGTCTCCGTTTGTCCGGCTCAGTGGGTGGACTACTCTCCCTATTTGTCCGGACTCTGTAGGTGGATTCTGTCTCCGTCCAGACTCAGTGAATGGACTTTGTCTCTTTTTGTCCGGACTCATTGGGTGGAGTCTGTCTCTGTCTGGGCTCAGTGGATGGGCTCTGTCTGTTTGTCCGAACTCAGTGGGTGGACTCTGCCTCTGTTTGTCCGGCCTCAGTGGGTGGACTCTGCCTCTGTTTGTCCGGACTCGCCGGGTGGACCCGTCCCTGTTTGTCCGGACTCAGTGGGCTGACGGCGCGCGTGTTGCCGACAGACGCCGCTCCTGATGACGAGCTGCTGAGCGAGTCCGGCGCCGGCGACAAGCTGGAGCAGCACGAGGTCATCCGCTGCGCCTGTGGCCATCAGGAGGAGGACGGCCTCATGATACAGGTGTCTGGCCAAACTCCCGACGGCGGGCTCGGTGGCGTCCCACTCCGCGTCGAAGCAGAGCCTCGTGTGCATCCTGCTGTCTCGTGCCGGCGGTCTTGTACTCGTACGGAAGCCGTCGGCGTCTCACAGCAGTGGCCTTACGCCGGTATGGCGGCGCAAACCGGGCGTTCTGGCTGCACCTGCCGGTCCCACGGAGCCAGGCGCGGCATATCAATAGCCGGTGCATCCCGTGGATCTTACGTACGGCTATGAGCTCGCCTACGTGGCCGCGTATACCGGCGTACTGTGGGATGTATTTTGAACTTTGTCAAACGCCGATGTTTCGTATCCCTGCGACCAGAAGTGACGTGACCAGGTCTGACTCAGCGTCGGCGGCGGGGTGTGTCTCAAGGGTTTGCCGTCTCCGTCCCCCTGACCTGGCTGAACCTGCTATGGCCCTGACTTGGCTAAACCGACCTGGCCTGACTTGGCTAAACCGACCTGGCCTGACTTGGCTAAACAGACCTGGCCTGACCTGACCTGCCCCGGCTTGTCGGCAGTGCGAGCTGTGCCTCTCCTGGCAGCACGGCGTCTGCCTGGGCATCGCCAGCGACGCCGAGGCGCCGCCGCGCTACGTGTGCGCCACCTGCCGGCACCCGTGGCGGGTACGCCACACGCAGCGCTACGTCTGGGATCAGGAGCTGTTCCGCGACGGAGCACTGATGCGGTGAGAGACGCCGCCGGCCGCGGCCCCGGCCCCGGCCCCGGCCCCGGCCCCGGCCCCGGCCCCGGCCCCGGCCCCGGCCCCGGGACGACACTACGCTCTGCCATGGCGTGCGCCAGCGCGCTAGGGGGATGGTATTGATACGCATGATTATAGACAAGTTGTATGGCAGGCTTTTGGTGCTGGCACTGAATACACACAAGGCGTGTGTCACCAACCTGTTCTTGACCATCAGCTTTACCATATGCCATCTATCTTTTCACCATTAACCTTTTCACCATCAACCTCGTCAACACCAGCTCAGTAGAGGGTATAAGCGCTGGCGCTGAACACACCGAGGCATTTGCTATCGCCCTGTTGTTACCAGGCGTCGCTCATAGGCTCGTCACGGCTGACCCGATCGGCCGAGATGCCAACAACCATGTCGTGCTTCCAAGGCCAGTTTGTAACCGTTGTTATTCTTAACGCAGAATAGTCATTATATGTTATGCGAAATTCCACCTGGGACGTTGCGTGGCAGTGTAATGTCTGACACATGAGGGGGCTCGGGGCCAGCCCAGCGGCGGACCGGCGGCGGTACTGACAGCTGGGCGGTGGCTCCGGCAGGCTGCCGTTCGGGGAGGAGGCCTGGCGAGCTGGAGCGCGCCCAGTCGGTGATGCGGGCCGCCTGCGACCTGGTGGCCAACACGCTCTCCCTGCAGGCGGTCATTCGCAGTCTGCGAGCCAAGCTGCACATCGCCAGGTGAGGGGTCGGCCGACCGTCTGCTGCCGGGAGGAGCGCTGGGCCGAAGTGTCGCACAGCGCCTGATGCGGCCTTAGCGTCAGTGTCGCTCCATGGAGGCTAGACTCCGTTTATGTGTTATTTACCACGGACTCTGATGCGAGCCCTTACCTTGGTGAATGGATTGATAGAAATTTCTAGGTATTTAAGTTTGTGTCATCGTCTGGCGGTAGAGCTATGACTCGCAACGTCTGGCATGCGTGTCCAAGGGCACCTGTTAGCCGAGGAGATCCCCGGGTAAATGCAGGTTCGTGGTGGATACTCAACTGAAAAGCACCCCTGTCCATCAAGGGCTGACCTCAGCCACGTGTACGTTTTCAGCGACCTTAACCACCCGAAGCTGTACCTATGGGCTCGGCCGTGGTCTCCGCCTCCGAGCCAGTCGGACCCGCAGCCAGAGCTGACGGCAACGACGGAGAACCAGTCTGGCCCGGTGGCCGTTACTGGAGACCAGTCAGGTCCGGCAGCCCCGGCTGGGAGGGATGCAGAGCTGCTGGCGACGTCTGGTGACCAGCTTCAGCCACTGGCTGCGGCTGTGCACCAGTCGGAGCCGGCAGCCACGACTGGGAATCAATCAGACCCGGTGGCCACGTTTGGCAGCCAACCGGACTTACCAACAGCTACTGGCAACCAACCAGACCTGCCAACGGCTACTGGCAACCAGACAGATCTGCCAACAGCTACTGGCAACCAACCGAACCCTGCGACAACAGCTGGCGGCCAAACGGAACCGGCATCGACAGCTCGCAACCAGTCAGAACCGGCGCCGACGACTGGCGACCAATCGGAACCGGTGCCGACGATCGGCAACCAATCAGAACCGGCGCCGACGATCGGCGACCAATCAGAACCGGCGCCGACGTCCGGCGACCAATCGGCGTCGCTGCTGGGCGCGGCATGGGACAGCCCGGCGCTCCTGGACGCCGTCACGTCGGCGGCCGCCCTGCTGCCGCCGGGGCTCACCAACCACGTGACACCGGCCGACGCTGGCGAGCGCGCAGAGTCGGCGCCGGAGCCGGGCGCGGCGGCGAATGGCGTGTCGCGGCCGGGCGGCCCTGAGGCGGACCCGCTGGCCTCGCTCTCCAGCGACCAGACGGCGCTGCTGACGGCCGCCACGCTGGCCGCCGCCGGCCGGCCCGAGCCGGACGCCGAAGACCCGCTCACCGGCGTGCTGGACGCCATCGCCGGCCTGCTTCCCTCGCAGAGCGAGCTCGACCAGCTGATGGAGGGCTCCGAGCCGACGCCAGCGCCGCCCGGTCAGTAGCGCCCGCTGCCAAACGCGGGGTGCTGCTGCACGGTCTTGGAGGGACTTGACCTTAAGTTATCATCGACTGTTATGCCGCGGCTGCCCCCCGCCCCCGCAGGGTTCGTGAGATAAGCAGGACGTTGTTGAATTCGCTCAACGGTTGCGAAAGCAATACTAGCGGGAAGAAAGTACCAAATAACGAGGATAACCTCGTTATTTATAATAACGAGGATAACCTCGATAACCTCGGATAACCAATAAACGAGGATAACGAGGATAAACAAATAACGAGGATAAATAGGAGGAAAACCCAGCAAAAGGAAAGCTACCAAATAAATCGAGATAATGTTCTGAAATTTCGTATGCGCTTAACCCACAACGGTTTTGTCCGGTACTTATTTTCACATCCGTGGTGGCCGGACTGTGCCCTACCATGGAAACTCTCATTAGCCATTTCACCTCATTCGTGAGCATTCACTCTGTGTTGTTCTGGATTGGGTTGTCTGCTCGAGCTGGGATCTGTACACGACTCAACCAGCTGACCTGACCTGACCTCTGCCCTGCATGCAGTGGCGCCGGTGGGCGAGGCACGCATAGACCCGGCCACCTGCCAAGTCAACCTGCTGAACCATCTGATGCAGATGCAGCTGGCCCTGCAGCAGCGTCTGGACACGGTCGAGCAGCACCTCACGGGTAGGTGACGCCGTGCGCCAGCGGACGCTATCGGCCCGGGCTCCGGTGGCGGCGGCGCCCCACGACTCCTCGGCTGGCGTCACGCACTCCAGCTGGTGTCGCCGGCTGCCTCTCGCTTTGTCAGTCCCGTCTCTGTGCCTGCGTTATGCGTTTCTACTGTAGCGCTTTTTAGGCTGAGGCATGCCGGACGCTGTTGCGCCTGTCGCCGACTCCGCAGATGCGCTCGGCGCTTGTTTTTCGGTGACGTTTCCTGCTGTAGCGTGCCAGATGCGGCTTGTCGGCGCCGTGTGCCGACAAGCCGCGTCTGGCACGCTCGTGTCGTGTGGCGGTCACACCTGGTCGCCTCTGCGGGCTCCTGTCAGCCGCGCTCAGTCGGCGGCGTCCGCTCCGCAGCGCTGGAGAAGGTGGCCGACCTGGACGCCTCCTGGGGCGGCGAGCAGCCCGGCGGCAGCGCGCGCCAGCTGCTGCAGACCGTGCTGCGGGACGTCCAGCTGGTGGAGCGCATGGCTCAGACCAGCTGACGGGCCAGCACCAGGCCCGGCTGAGGCCGGCGGAGCGGCGCGGGCGCCGGCTGCTGCAGACCGTGCTGCGGGACGTCCAGCTGGTGGAGCGCATGGCTCAGATCAGCTGACGGGCCAGCACCAGGCCCGGCTGAGGCCGGCGGCGCGGCACCGGCGCCGGCTGGGGACCGTGCCCGCGGCGGGGCGGCTGCAGCCGGCGAGGAACACGCTGCGGTGCTCTGTTCGCGCCTCCCGTGCGAGTCATCTGAGCGTGTGGACGTTGGTAATGATGATTGCAGTGCAAGCCTGTTGTCGGGGTGAGCTGCGCTGAATAGTCGGGACATCTTTATTGTTTGTATTGAAGGTTTTGTGGCCATTCAGCGTTTGCTTTCGTGGACACCTCTTGGTGGTTATAAGTGCAAAGAGTGTGAAACTTATGTGTTTTTGTCATCTCACAGCTGGTCGTAAAAAGCGTGTTTGCCGTTGGGCGCCGGAGTCCAACTCGGCTTGTTGTGCGGGGCTGCACTGCCTGTGTTACTTGTGCAGGGCTATACTACTTGTGCTGCTCACGCGGGCCTGTGGCTACAATGCCGTATTGCGTTGAATGACTTGCTTTTCGCAAAATAAATTGATGCCTCTGTTCCTTTGAAGTTCGCGATGGCCATATTGTATCACAGTATATTCCTTGGAAAACATGGAGCAAACATCGCATACACGGTAATAAACAATTCGCCTCTTATACTAGCTCCAATCAGAAGCTAGTCATGATTGCGCCCACGAAAATTATGTCATTGTTAACCAATGAGAAGCGAGTATGACACCGTACGATCGGCTGCTCAACCAGTTATGTGGTGCAAATTGGTTAGAAAAATAAGCAGAATATGGGATCGCCTTGGACCTATCTGATGCAACTGCCGAGGCGCTGGAGGTGACTTTCAAACAAGTATCGAATCACATGGCGGATGGTATGCATAGTTATGTTCTGACGGAAAAGATGGCATGCGGCAAATGATCCGTTCGTCGGATGCCTGGGCTAGGACGGAGACTAGTCTAGTAGCAGCACATAACCCATCCGGGGCGGGCTGGCATAGGGTCGCAAAGTGGACTGGTTTGATGATGAAAAGTGGGCCTTGTGACACCTCCGTTACAAAGTCGTATGCTGACACTATTAACTCATTGGAGGGTCTCGGCTTTGGCGGCCTCGCTGAATACTACAGTCGTACCGTCGCCCATTACGGGAGGTGCGTCCCGAGCCCGCCCGACTCGTGTTCCGAGCGCATGGCGCCTGAGATAATCACCCACGCTTAACGACCCCACACTTGTGTTTCGCCGGGCCCGTGCAGAGCGCCGAGCACTCGTCGCGGGGACGGTAACCAGTGGCCTCCGATTAGTGGTCGGGTTACAGCTCGGGGGCGCCGGTGTGCGGGCTGGGGTCGGGGCCGTGTGACTGCGCCAGGCTCGCTCGGGCAGAGGTCGGGCGGTCGGTGGTGGCCTACGTGACCGGGAATGGTGGCACGGCAGGAGGCGAGCTGGAACACGTCTGAATGACGTATCGATGAGTCGTTACCTTCCGTGACTGAAGTGGGGGAGAGGAAGGAGGAATATCCCGAGAAATCAGGGGAGGAGCAACGACTTTTGAGCGGCCATATGCCATAGGAACCGTGCTAGATTTCTACACGGTGAGGGGTGGGGACGGGCTGCTGCTCCCCCTTCCCTTCCCCTGTTCCTGGGCCACCATCCGAGATGAAGGTGCATTTAGTCGATCACCGATATTTCCCATGCAAGATCATAGATGTCGACATCGGCCCAATATTCGATTCGGTGCGCCTGTCAGGAAGGCAGCCAGTATGTTCCGTGCCGTTTCTCAATAACGAGCCACGTACCACCGACGCACGGCTGTGACCGAAGCGGCGCAGACACTGGCCGAGCGAAGCAGCGACTGAAGCCCCGCCCCGCCGCCATGTAGGTCAGACGGCCGCGCGCCGCTCACGGCCAGCCGCGGCGGCGCGTGCCAGCCGCTAATGCGGCGGCCCGACAACCTGACGTGCGCCTGTTTTGTACTACGGCTTTGTTAGAGTTGATCACAGACCGCGGCCGCCGTCCGCCGCGTACCCGGAGCTCTGCATGCCAGCGTGGTCATGCAAGCCACCGGCGCGGCCGACAGGCTCGGGTGGTTACAGATCACCAGTGTCCTCATCCCTGCTAGCAAACCCCGCGCATTGGACGTGGCGACGCCCTCGCTGCTCGCGCGTGAGGAAGCGGCGGGAGGCTTGCCAACAACTCCCAGGCCCGGTGTGCGTCCAGACACGTCTGAGCCGCCGCCGTCGATCATGGCAGGCGGGCGTCCGCCCATCGCCGCTGGACAAAACATGGCCCGATCTCGAAAAGAGCGCGTGAGTCGATCATGGCAGGCGGGCGTCCGCCCACCGCCGCTGGACAAAACATGGTCCGATCTCGAAAAGAGCGCGTGAGAAACAAGTTTATTCGATAACCCACACAACCTTCCCAGCGCATAATTGTATATGGTTCCTCGCGTCACCGACCGTCACGGGGAGAATAAGTGGTAAATGTAATATCACGAACCACATAGTGGACAGGCAAATGAAAACACCCACACAAGCTCATATGGATGTGGAAACACAATTCACAGTACGGCTCACACATCGCCCCCGCGGGATTTCCCCATACGTCGGCTAACACACCTGGTCCTTTGGACAACTCCTCTCACAGAACTACCACGTGTGGTCCTCGGGACGTGTCCCCTCTCAGAGGACTGACCAGCACCTCCCGCCGTCATATCAGCGGGGTAGCTGGCGTGATCCGGCCAGCGTCCAGCGCCTCCACCAGAGTCCGGCGCCGAGCCTCACGCGCGCACCTGCAGCAGCGCCCCCGTCTGGCACATAGCCAGGAGCCTCCGCGGAGGCGCCGATCCTGCCGTCGCCGCAGCCTGGGGCCCGACGGGGCGCCTCCTGCGACGCCCGCCCAATCCCACCCGGCCCGTAAGCTCACAAGATACTGGACAGGATCTCCTTGGCGCTGCCCGACAGCGAGTCGGGGAACTTGATGTCGAACGTGACGATGAGGTCGCCGCGCCGATTCGGCTCCTTGGGGAGGGGCAGACCGCGCCCCTGCAGGCGCCGGGTCGTGTTAGGCTTGATGACCTCTCGTGACAGGTCGAGCGGCACCTTTTCGCCGGCGAGCGTCGGGATCTGCACCACAGTGCCGCACAGCGCGTCGCGCAGCCTCACCGGGCACGTGTACCGGATGTTGGACTCGTCACGCTTGAACAGCGGGTGCGGCTTGTCGCGGATGATGAACACGATGTCGGCCGGGATCTTGCTCGGGCCCTGGTCGCCCTCGCGCTGGAACGTGATCTTGGTGCCGGCCTTCCATCCGGGCTTGACGTTGATGGTGAGCACCTTGTCCTCGCGGCGCGACGTCACGCCGTCCGGGTTCATCACCTTGCGCGAGATCTTCATCTTCTTGGTGCAGCCGCGCGCGATGTCGTCCAGCGCGACGTAGAGGTCGTGCTCGACGGCCGGGTCCTGCTGCTTCTGACGCTGCTTCGGGGAGCCGGTGTTGAACGACTGCGAGCGGAAGGCGTTGGGCCGCTGCTGGCCCATGCTGTAGAACTGGCTCTGGCCGTCGTCCATCTCCTCGTCGAAGATGACGCCGCCACCCGGGCCCATGCCGCTCGTGAAGAACGTCTCGAACGGGTTGTTGCCGCCGAAGAACTGGGCGAACGTAGCGCGCGGGTCGCCGTGGAAGGTGTACGTGTAGCCGCCGGGGCCGCCCGGGCCGCCTGGGCCGCCGCCGCCCATGCCCGGCCCACCACCCATGTTACCCTTCAGGCCCTCCTCGCCATACCTGTCATACACCTCTTTCTTTTTCTTGTCACTCAGCACCTCGTAAGCCTCGGCGACGTCCTTGAACTTCTCCTCTGCACCAGCACTTTTGTTCTTGTCTGGGTGGTACTTGAGGGCCATCTTCCTGTAAGCTTTCTTGATTTCATCTTCTGATGCATTGCGACCAATGCCCAGCACTTGGTAAAAGTCCTTTCCCATGCTGCTTGAAGTTGTTCTCCGCTTACTGAAAGCAAGAAGCAAAAAGGTATCAGCTTGGTTCCAGCTATAATGATGCAATGCATTTCATACATATTGAAGGACAGATTATCATTTCTACATAAAACCATAGGATAACATCCATATACAAGCCCTGGCCATTTCCAAGTTGAAGTCATAAGATCTTTAAATACTATAAATGACACAAAATTTTGCTACTTGATTTGATTGCATTGGACAGTGTACTGTGCATGATAAGTTTCTCAAACACTAATAATATTCTTGGGAACTCTGAACAATTTTGGTGGGCCCCACAGTGGTGCACATCTTGCATCCCACACAAGTCCTGAGAGAGGACTGTTGCCTCATGGCTGCTTCCTTACATCCACCCCTTGTTTAAATAAGTGGCAGTAAAGTTGAGGATAAGAGCAAGAGAAGCTTTATATAGTTTGCAGACCAATAGAGGAAGTGGGAGCACAGTTACAAAAGGGAGTAGCATAAGGAGTAGGAGAGCATTGCTGCTGGAGCAAGGATGATAGGAGCAAAAGGGTTTGGCAGTAGGAGTGTAGGAGTATAGTCAGGTCTAGAAAGAGTGAGTAGGTTTGGCAGCAGGAGCAGGAGTGTGAGAATCATTAGCCCTGAGAGTGAGTAGGTTTGGCAATAGGAGCAGGAGAGGTTAGGTCTAGGAGTGAGTATGTTTGGCAGTAGGAGTGGCAGGGTGGTTATGTCTAGGTGTGACAGTGTGATGGTGTGTGAGTGATGATAGTAATAGTGATAGACTGGCTTAACTGAAGAAGTAGGACTGTGGTTAGTTCTAGGCCCATGAGCTTGAGAAGGATTGGAATAGTAGCATTAGAAGCATGGTTGGGGCTAGGAGTACGCATGGAGATGACAGGCTTGTTGGATGAAGAATTCAGGTGAAAAATGGCATTTGTAAACAGGTTATCTGATGTCAAAATCAACTGGCTTTTCATGATATCTTATCATTATCATGAGGTATTAGGGTGGACTCTTGCAATAACTAATGCTATTTTAACATCTTGCAATGCTTGGCTGAATCAATACACAAAAACCAAGCACTTAGCCTGTCAATGACCCAAAAATACATGAAAAGACCATGAAAAAGTGCTAAAACAAAGTCCAGTGGGAAATGATTGTTTAACATTTTGAGAGCATGAATCTCAATTTGCTTGCTGGCATGCACAGCACCATACATGAAGGCATTGTCAAGGGGCAGGAAAAAGAGCAACCCTCCCTTGTAGACTGTATATTTTTTACTCGCACCAAGGGTGTGCACTTCCTAGAGGCAAAATTTCTGAAAGCACCTTGGGCTTTAAGGTCAACCAAGAAGTCTCTGCTACCCTGAAATGGGGCCACACCTGAAAGAGAGGGCTAAATCCAAAGTTTATTTCAGAACTTTTAATGTACCAATGCAGTTCCCTCATGTTCACGAACCCTATGTTCTTTCCGACTTACAGCTGCTCAGCCTTTGGTAAAATTTACGCAATGCATGTAATAGGCAGTTCATTCATTAGCAGCAATATTTGTGCATAGTCAGGATTACACAATGTTATGTAACTGGATGTTAATTGCATGACTGATATGCATTGGACCTCTATTTGAAATACGCATGTCCACCAACCACACAGACCAGCAAAGACTGCAATGTGGGGAAGGGTTCCATGCCCACTCCAAACCCCCCTATACTGTTGCTCGTTTCCGATGTTTGCCCCTTCAACCAGAATCAATACGAAACAAGTCATCAACGCACTTTCAAACTCACCTCCAAAAGCAGCTTATCTATATGAAAAGACGCCTGACCAGGTCAGAGACTTGTAGCAGCTGTCCGCCCTCACTCCCACCCGCGGATCGGCCGTTGAACTATTTCCACGGCGACGGCGGCGTCGGATATAAGCCCTCTGTCGTAGGTTCTAGAAACTACGGGAAAAGTGGCGCAGCTTCCAGACTGGGTATACTAGTGTCATCTAGCGTGCATCTATGGCAATTTGAGTTTCATTGTACACACTAGTCTACACCTTTCGATGGGAAACAGGTTTACGTGGTTTCCAAGTGCGCTGATCCTCATTCAGGCATGAGACCCACAACCGGGGAGGTGGCGGGGTTGGTGGCAGAGAATGAGTGCCCGCCAACTTTCCCAGATGGCAGTAATAGACTTATTCGTTGGAGAAAAAACCAGGAGGATGGAGATCTAGTATATACATGTTTCCATTCTCCTGGTTTTCCCCCAGGAATAAGCCTATTACTACTGTCTTATCTATGTGAATAATGTTCCTCGCTATTGCACTAAACAACTTATAAATTTCCCAGAGATCAACATCACGCCGTGGTCGTGCTTGGAAGTAGTGGCGCTCACGGGGGGTACAGGGGTGCGTGCATCCACCCCCTCGGATCCCGATTTGAGGGGCCAGACGGTCCCGAAAAGGGCGGCCGGAGACCGTTTTAAGAAGTCCCGGCCCACGGCCGGGCACTTAAATGCCAGTCAGAGGCCCCTTTGAGCCGACCGAGGGTCCGCTGAGTCGATATAAGGGCTTCATATGTTGGTCAGGGACCACAAGTACCGCACAGTCGGCTGCGTGCCGGCATGGGCCTCAGGGCCCATTTTGCAAGCAGAGACGAATCCGGGGACAGCAGCTTACATTTTTCAGGGTCCAAGCATCTGAAAGGAGCCATCCGTGTCTGGCAGGGGCCCTGTGTTGGAAACTAGGATGTCGAATCGGCTCCAAGCAGCATTCGAGAAGCCGAAGAGAGCCTGAACGGCCACCGGGATCGCCTAGACGGGCTCGATTGGAGGGCCTAAGGGACATGAATGAATGACAGGAGTCTTATGATCAGGGCCCGACCCGCGGGGAAGGGCCCCTAAAATGACAGTCAGGAGCACTTTTGCGCCGATCGGGAATCCCCTGAGTCGACAAGGACCTCTGTCGATCAGGCACCATCAGTGTCGCACAGTCGACTCCTTTTCGCCATGGGCCTGAGACCTCTAAAGCAGCCACAAAGCCGGGGCCAACGATTTACTTTGGTCTGGGTCTGTGTGTCTGTCAGGGGTCGCAGTACCTAACAGGGGGTCTTGTGTTGGCAAGGGACCCCGAGCCAACCAAGGGCAGTGTGCAATGAGGCCTGGAGAAGGGCCAAGGTCCTAACTGGAGGGCGGGAAAGCTTGAAGAGTTGGCGGAGGGTCACATCAAAGATATCGGCCCACAGGGCCGTGATCTGAAATATCATTCGGAGGACCTCTCGCACCGACTGAGGACCCCCTGAGGCGAAACGGACCTCTATGTCGGCCAGAGACCATCAATACCAAACAGTTGACTCCATGTTGGTCTGAGCTCTGAGTCCTCGTTCAGGCATGAGACCCGCAACAGAAGAGGTGGTGGAGGTACGAGCAAAGAATGGGTTCCTCCAAATTTCCCAGATATCAACATTACGCTTTGGTCGTGCATGGAAGCAGTGGCACACGCAGGGGGCACAGGGCGCGCGTGCCCATACCCCCGACCCCCTTAGGTCCTGCATTTTCCATGCGGGAGCGAGGCCGGGTCCTGCGATTTGCATAGGTCTGGATCCTCGGAAGAGGAAGGGACCCTGCTTCGGTCAGGGGCCTACAGTGCGCAATAGGGACCATGTGTCGGTAACTGGAACCAAGCCGGTTACTTTTCTTTTTTGAGGAGACATGAAAAGGGACCAAAGGGTACCTCGAAAGGTCAAAGATCAAGGTCCCGATTGGAAGGCTGAGAGTCCCGAAGGAGCCGAAGAACTGACCGCAGGTCACATTAAAGACAGCTCCCGTCCGTAGGGCGGTAACATCAAATATGTCTGTCATAATCATAGCCATAGGGCCTCTTGCATCGATTGGGAACCCTTGGGCAGGTGTACCCGAACTTCGACCAGAGACCACCAGCACCAAACTGTCGCCTCCGTATCGGTCTGAGCTCTTGGGGTCAATTTTCCAAGCACGAACAAGGCCGGACCTCGATTTGCATTGATAAAATGACTGACTTAATTGTCAGTCAGGGGGCCTCTATAAGGGCCTTCTTATTAGGGTCCTCTATGGCGATGAAAAACGGCCTCAACACAGAGCCAACAAGTCGACTCCTTGTCGGTATGAGCTCTGGGACCCATTTCCCGAGCATCAGCAAGGTAGGGACCCTGAGATCAACAATGAGCTGGGCCCCTGACACAGTGAGTGGCTCCTGAGTCGGTCCGGGGCCTTCAGTTCCCAACAGGGGTCCTGTGTCGGGAAGTAGCCCCGAGACGGCCAGAAGCCTGGTTAAAGAGGGTCCAAAGGATCTCCCGAGACAAAAAGATCAGGGGCCCAATTGGAAGGCTGAAGGACCTGAAGGGCTGGCTGAAGGTCACGATGGCTCGTCACACGGCCCGGAGAGCCGTCATCTCACATACCAGTTGGAGAGCCTCTTGCGCCTATTTTAAACCCCTGTGATAAGCGCGTTTCTCTATTTCGTCCACAAATCACCAACATCGAATAGTTGGCTCCGTGTCGGTCTGAGCTTTGGGGACCTCTCCCCAATGTAGAGACGGGGCCGAGCCGAGAAAAATAGACGTCAAATACGGTATTCTCGTGCCATTATTGACTAATCTGCCACCTATGCAGCGAAAGCAGAACATGTATGTATATATATATATATATATATATATATATATATATATATATATATATCACTAAATGCTCTCAGAAAGAAAAACACCTTGGTTTATCGACTGGTTCTGATCAGGAAGATAGGTGTCGGTCCTAGTCAATCAAACCCGGTCTGAACCAAAAAAGACGGTTTTAGGCAGAATGTTATGGCCTGACACGTACAGAATAGAGCCTTTGTGAAAATGTTTGCATGCACTGTCAGAATGATATATTAGATATAAGGTATGATCTCTCGATCTTATCAACAGCCATGTCGATCAAGGACATATAAGATAAAGCCTGGCGACTGGACGCGTCATCAGAATGGCCGTGTCACCAAATGGCGCAACCAACGCTGTGGCCCATGATAGAAGTTGGTATAAGCGAGGAAGGCCTTGAGTTCAGTGTTTCGGCGTTATGAGATGGGAGTTCTAATGTTGAAATAATCGACCTTCAGCACACAAGGAGGTAGTGCCAGGTGAGGAGCATTGGGGGCTTATTGGAGCATTGGGGGCATTGTGGACACTGGGGAGGAATCAGCATTGAAGGCGATAAGCCCCTCTCCTCCCGAAAGTATATGAAGTGACACCCTGCTGCTGTTTAGTCAAGGCACAAATATCTGTCGGAGCCGTCGTCATCCTTTTCGAAAGTCGCAACTGCTCCTTCTTTATCTTAAAACCGCATGTGTCAGCCGAGATGAACTGAAAACCAAAGTGGCTTCGCTGGCGACAGCCACAGATGTTCAGTCTCCAACCAGTTACGGCGAAAAAGCCGTGTGTCAGCTGGAGATTCCGCTTAGGTCATGTGGACAGCAACACTAACTTCGACAAAATTCAACTTTGGGCCTAAAGCGTATACTGGACGTTTGGGAGCCAGCCACGCCCTGGCCCCTTCTGCCGCCGGCACCAGCGATTATTGCGCGCGCTGTGGTCAGACTGTGCAGAGCATAACTACCATTTTCAAATACGGGTCTACCCATGCATCACCAGGAGACCAAGGACAAACTTGAAAGATTGGCGTAGGACATTATGCTGTGGCCGACCTGTTCCCCGCCTGTGAGAAGATCACGGCTTTCGGCTCGGAGGACCACGCTTCGTGACATCACACTCCAATGGCGTGCCATGAATTCAGAACATTCTGCAGTACATTAGTAATGCCCCCTACAAGGCTGAAGTGTTGTAACGGCGGCGCATCGGCTTACCCCTGATCAGGCAGCCGTCCTTGGTCCGATCTTATCTTCACCACGGCTACTGACGTACGCTGTACGATGCCTTACACTAGGCACAATCTTGATTAAAAACGTCTAGATTACTGTTTTTTTCTGATCACACGTCAACTTCCTTTATTTTTTCTTTCGTTGGAAACCCAGCGAGTAGGCAGCAAACGCAGCAGTATCATGCCGGCTCTCACTGAGAACACAACTGCTCTCACTTAAAACAAAGCTAAGGGCTTGCAAAGAAACCTGTATTTCTCGTCACGTAACACAGCCAGGCACTTGTGAAATTTACCACAGGACAGAGAGACGGAGAACGATACATGAGACCATGGCACATCAGACGAACACAACGGAGCAGACGAAAGCAAGAAACTTCAAATGGCTCCGTTCGCAACGCACGCAAACTCCCAGAACGACAAACCTAGACAACAATGAGGAGGTACTCGCGCGTCTTCATGACACCACATTCAGAAAACTATTGCGTCAAATACTGAAGTGAGTATACATCTTTGCGGAATCTCCGGAATGAGAGGACCCAGAAGTCCCAACCCCACCAGCACTCTGAAAAAACGCAGCGAGGAAGAGCATGTGTGTTGTGTCTTCAGGCGGGCAGCCCGGCGGACGCTGCGCCCACCAGCGTCTGCAGCCGAACCCTGTCCTGTCCAGGGTCGAGCGTCTACGCATCATGGCACTACCTAGCATAGCCGGCGGGGTCCCTTTGGCACCTTGCGGAGGGGCCGGACTGCTGGATTGCAGGATATGTGCAGCACGGGGTCACTGAGCCGACCGACGGGTCACCGTCATCTGACGTCACACCACGGCCGTCGGAGGGGAGGGGTGGGGCATCCCGCGCCGGGGGCGGCAGGCGCGCGAATGCCGCTCGGCCCCACACCATACTCCACACCGAGCGGGCGGCACCGGCCGCCCGGCCCGCATCTCATCGCACCGCCGTCAGTCCGCTCCCCACGCCAGTCAACAAATAAATACACAGACACTCGACGCTGCGGCGCGGCGCGCACTCTGGAATGGCGGGGAGGACTCGGCTCTAGCGCGCGCGCCTTTGGCATTGCACGTGCCGGCGGGGCCGGACCGGCGCTATCACAGGCGGCCGCGGCCTCAGTTCGCCTGCCAGCGGAACTTGCTCTTCATCACCCACTTCTGCGCCGAGTCGTGCCGGTCACAGTCCTGCAGCGACAGCCGGCCGTTGTCGGCGCGCAGGTGCTGCATGCACCGACCCGAGTTGATGTGCACGATGCTCATGGCCTGCGGGGGGGCGGGGAGCGCCGGTCAGCGGAGCAGGTGGCGCCAGCGTCGCGGCGCTGCCGCCGTCTTCACGCTCGCTGTGGCCACACGGACGTCGCCACGCCCGTCACAAGGCGGCACACAGGCGCGGCCGGCACAGACAGACCCAGCTGTGGCAGCGGCGCTGAGGCTGAGCACGACCCACCGGCCTGCCGTACTTGTCAGGTCCGTCCGCGGCGCCACACACACAATTTATTGCTCGCAGCCAGGGCAAGAGAGCCAGGAGGCCTCATGTCGCAGCAGTGATGGCCTGACCCACCCGCCGAGCCAAGAGGAAAACCGATTGCAGCAATGAAACGGTCCGGGCATCCGCAATGTATTGAGTTGTGCGTGCATGTGCCCGTCTGTGTTATATGAATGGGGTTTTATAAAGTTCGCTGTTGTATTTTACTTGCCTCCACCTCCAGACAAAATTAGCTGACTAACGTAAGGCAGTTTACTTTCTCCCTTGCTCCACACCGGACGTTACGTGCCAGATTAACGTAGCTTTTTGCCTGGTGTTCAGCCCGAGGTAAACTTCCCGCACCCCGGATGTGGCTCTAGGTGCGCCGGGACAAAACAAAACAGGCCTGGCCCGACCACCGTTTCCGCAGGATACGCGGCTGCACTGGGAGAGCGGTGGCACGCGCGTCGGCAGTCGCGCCGCCGGCCCTCGGCCCGCCTACCGTCGTGTCGTACTTCCAGTGCTGGTTACCGCCCATGCCGTGGCAGCGCACCATCTTGACGGGACTGTCACCGCTGGCCGCGTCCAGACAGTTGTCGTCCGACATAATCTGGCCACGCTTAGTGTAGGCGAACACCTGGCCGTCGCAGGCAGACGCGTCACGTTACGCGGCCGCACAGCACGGACACACACTCAGCGGGCACAGAGACACACAGGTGGACACAGACACACACAGGCGGGCACAGGCGCACACAGGCGGGCACAGACACACACAGGCGGGCAGACACACACAAGCTGGCACAGGCGCACACAGGCGGGCACAGACGCACGCTCGGCGGGTACAGGCGCACACAAACGGGCACAGACACACGCTCGGCGGGTACAGACATACACAGACGGGCACAGACAAACACGGGCGGGAACAGATACGTCCGCTGGGCCGCGGCCGCATCTGATCATGACCCTCTGAGCATGACGTTAATGCAGTCGTCCCTTGGAAGGTATTGCGCCCGTTGGTTTCCTTGTTTCAGTAAACTGGGAGCCCATCTCCCGTAAAACACAAAACAGAAAATCACGGCAGATTACAGACGATGATTAACAGGCCCCTGAACACATTGCTATGACGAATGCTGCATTTGATGTTCATGTAGGCTTGGACGTAACTAGTTGCATGAGAAGAGTCCTGCATCAAACATGACAAGCCAAGGCCCCTGCTGGTGTAAAATGGGGCATCTAGGTAAACATAAGTGGGCCAAATATCATCACAAAACATTCCTGGAATAACACGGACGAGACTGTCATAGTCATGGAACATCGTGCAGTTTCTTTGCAAAGAAACAATGCATACCACAAACTGCACAGTATATTGTGTGATAAAAATTGTATATATGTATATACATATATATATATATATATATATATATATATATATATATAGTAACCAGGACCTCAGTACTGACCTGATTTCCGCCCAGGCCGTGGCAGAAGCCGGCTCCCACCGGCTCGCTGCCCTTCCGGCCCATCGTGTCTAGACATTGCTGCGTGTCGACGTTTCGGATCTGGCCAACAGATGGCGCGGTTAGAACTTAACCGAGACACGTATGAACAGCCGCAGCTGCTGTCCCCACCTGAACACAAAACATCTGTGCGGTGGCTGCTCCATATAGCGGCACGACGTGTCGTCCTGATACACAATCTCCCTCTGCCCACACCAACGGAGAACACAAGTGCCCCCGAAGCCGGTCAGTCGCGGCGACCCCGCCGCCTTTTGCGGCGCGGGTGGGCGGCCCGCCAGACAGCAGAGCCGCCGAGCTCGAGCGGTGCCGACGCTGCGCTCACCTCCCCCAGGTAGTAGTAGTCGAGAGGCATCTGCGACTCCGGGTAGATCTTCTCCAGGTACCAGCGGAACGACTTGCACTGCAGCCGCTTGCGCAGCTCCAGACGCTCCGTCACGTCGCCCATCTCGACATTACGGGCCCCTGGCGGCGGAGCCGGGTCAGGCACGGCGCAGGGGCGGCGGCGGCGGCAGTGCCACGTCCGGCCAGGCTGGCCACCAGTCGAGCGCATCACTTCAGGCGGCAGGAGAGGGCACAGGCGGCCACGTGACAGACCAGAGGTCGGGACGGGGCACTGGCTACCATCTGTCAGACGCTGCTCATGAGCTTTAGAACATGGATCACATGACTGCCGAGGAAATCAAGAAGTGGCCAGTGATGCTCGATTTTATTCCGCGAGCCGTTGCGTCACCCAGTCAGTCACAGCTGCCGCATATCACAGCAATGCAACAAACACCGGCCACTTAGGAGACGCGCCGCACCCCACCCGAAGCCCGAGCCGCCCTGACACCCATCCCAAGAGACACGAGTCACGACAGCGTGGCTCGACGGCCAAGGTCGTCTGTGATTCTTACCAGGCGAGCCACTTCAGTCAGCTACAAGAGCGTGTTAAGCTAAGCATTTTTTGGCGCGTGGTTGACAGAGCAGCAGTAATTGAAGCCGCAGAACTTTGACACTGCTGTGATCTCGAGATACGAAGTGTTTAGTTTCAGGAAAATGTCCAGGATGTCGGCTCCATTAAACCAGAACAGCTGCAGGGGGTGCTAAGTTGCAATGACAAGCTTTGTTCACCTAGAAATGCGAGGGCGCTAGAATGAAAGCCCAGAGCCACGCCATCTTTTGATCATGTGGCAGGATTTCCCAAAATCCCGGCGCACCTGGTCCGGTTGTTGTGCACGCAACGCTCCAGACGAAAAAAAAAAACATATTTTTGCCCGCATGTTCAAACAACGAGACCTTATTACTGGCACAGGGCTCCCCACCATTACACCAAGAGAGTCGTATGTTGTCTTCGGGGCTGCCCACAAGGCGGGGAAGGGGATCGCAAGGACCAGACCTAGCCAGGCTCCGCATGGGACCCATGTGAGTCATGGTCCAATGTTGGGGTACAGGACCAGTCTGGCCGCCAATCCATCAGCAGTGACAGACTGCTCCAGCAGACTGCTGACAGGGTGACAAATTGGTCCATCAGACTGCTGACAGGGGTGACAAAAAACTGGACCATCAGGCTCTGACAGGGTGACAGACTGGTCCATCAGACTGCTGACAGAGTGACTGTCTGGTCCATCACACTGCTGACAGAGTGACAGAATAGTCCATACGACTGCTGACAGACAGACTGGTCCAGTCCAGGCCTGGACAGTGTCCCGGCGCCTTCTGATCATTATGATGATTGGTGCTGCAATGTCTGATTTCTAGCTATTGCCTAAGCGGCTTTGGTATACCGAGCTTGGCCAACGCAGGACGCACAAAAGCAGGTCACGACCTGTGAGTTATGGGATCACCTTATTGGCCTGGCACCTGCCGAAGCGGTGAGGAATGAATGTGCAGATGTGGGGAAGGGGTGATATGAAAATGAGCAAGCAAAGAGATACTTCAAGTGGGACCAAGACGAGAAGACGACAGGAAGAGCAGGATGAGTTATGCGAGGTCAATTCAGACATAGCGAGCGTGAACAAAGAGAACGAACCAGAGCATCCCAACACAGAATGGGCCCTTGGACCCAGCACACGGATCTCGTAGCTCCCTCAACTTGGACCCGAGATTGGTTGCGAGCCGTTGTGGACCAACGTCCGGACCTGTCCGGACCTGTCTGGGGGACCTGGTCCGGACCATGGTCCACACTGGCCATGCGGAGACCACAACCGTGGGCAGATGACCGCCCGGGGACGGGCACCGCCCAGTGGGGCCGACGGCGCCACCGCGGGGACGACTCGGCCGGCACCCAACGGTCGCCCGCGGCCGCGCCGCCAGACGGACGCCTCCGCGCGGCGGGCGGCGGCGCGCCGGCACCGCGCGGCACCGCCGTGTGCGGGCCGAGCCGTCCCCCGCCGACGCACGCGCCGGGGTTAGCCGGCCTGCGCCACGAGTCTCACACCTGGGTTAATAGCAAAATAGAACTCCTTCCACTCGTCCAGCCAGACCTCCGCCAGGCGCGCATTGTTGTGGTTCACGATCCGCGACGTGCCGCCCGGGAACGAGTAGGGCGTCGACTTGCGGAAGATGTGCCCCACGTGGGAGCAGGGCGCGATCTCCAGCGTGCCGCCGCACATCCACACCTGCGCCCGCCGCCGCCGGGGTTAGTCAGCCGGCCGACGCCAGCGCCGCGTCGCGTCGCCGCCGATCTACTGCACATCCAGCCGACACTACTGCAGGTCGCCGTTAGGCATGCAAGCGAGCCGCCGCGCCCGGTGAGTGCTCAAGCCGTGCCGCCACCGCCGCCACCGCCGACTCACCAACCTGCGCTTACCTGCTCCCCGTGTGGCAGTGAAGACGTCACCTGCTCTCAGTGTGGCAGGGAGGATCTCACCTGCGCTTACCTGCTCCCCGTGTGGCAGGGAGGATCTCGCCTGCGCTTACCTGCTCCCAGTGTGGCAGGGAGGATCTCACCTGCGCTTACCTGCTCTCAGTGTGGGAGGGAGGTACCTCACCTGCGCTTACCTCTTCCCAGTGAGACAGGGAAGACCTTACCTGCGCCGCCGCCCCTGCCCGGGGCCGGGCCGGGGCCGGGTCTGAGCCATCGGGTGCCAGCGGGCCTCTACGTAGCGCGCGCCGCGCCTCGCCAGTACCTGGGTTCATCTCGTAATAGAAGTCGCGCCATTTGTCCATCCACACTTCGGCGACGCGCACGGCGTTCTTGACGATCACATTGCTGATGCCGCCGGGAAAGGAGTAGGGCGACTTGTCCCTGAACACGTGTCCAACACGCGAGCAGGGGATTATCTCCAGCTGGCCTCCGCACTGCCAGATCTGCCCGGTGGCGCCCAGACCCCGTCAACCGGGTCGGGTCGGGTCGGGTCGGGCACCGCCGCCGCCGCCGCCGCCAGCTGACCCCGGCTCAGGTCAGCTCAGGTCAGAGGGACGCGCCGAACCGGTGTGGCGCGTGGTCCAGTGGTTGATTGTTTTGACCACGGACTCAACGCACATAAGAGGCAAGAACTATTACCGCACTTGCGCACTCGGAGCAATTTTTTTAAATCACTCACGTGACATGTCACGCAGGCCCAAACGGCCTTGCTGAGTTCAGAGATTTCCGAGAGGATGTATCCCAGACGTGAGCCTGACATGAGGCCGGCAGCCAGTGCATCAACGAGGACCGTGCGGGTCCAAGCGCAGCCGCAGTAGTAGCGGGGTCACCCCTCTGACCGGAGAGCTGCGCCGGGTTCAGCCTGCCGCCGGCGGGGCCACGCTCACAGCCGGGCAGGGTGCACGCAGAACAACAAGCAAACAAGCCGAAAACCATGCAGACCACAGACAGAGCGGACACGCACCACCACTCGAGCCGCACAAATCCGTGCAAACTCCAGACACGGCGTTGCGTAAGGAGCGGGTGCCACGAGAAGGCGTCCTTTGTCCTGGGGATTCCGGCGAGGGCCCGAACATCTCACCATGTAAGCGAGGCCTAGCTCAAGGGGGTGGTGTCGGCGAAGGAGTCGGCATCACATGCAGCTGGCATTACTCGACCGACTCGACCCGCGGTAGCAACAGGCTAGGGCACCGTTCAGAGGGGAATTATTGATGGCGCTTAAACTCACAACGAGGACGGAGGCCACCAGAGACATCTATCTAGGAATGGAACCAAGCCAAACAAGTCTCCACTTTTTTCAGTGTAACAGCCAAGTGGTTAGTTGGCCCTGTGCCCGTGACTCGATGAGGAAGTTGTGGCAAGGCATCACGCGACGCCAGGAGTTTTCAAGAGCTTTACACCAATGCAAGTTACAAAAGCCACGCCCCAGCCTTTTAAAATGGGTTTGCGCTGTTCAGCACCTGCCCTCACGAGCCTCGGGGACCAGCGACGCAGAGACGGGGTGGGTGCAGGACAAAAGCGTGCCGTCCCGCGCTCAGAGACCAAGACTGGGGAGCCCGGCCGGCCGGCGGCGGCCGGGAGTGTCCCAGGTCAGCAGCAGCGGTGGTGGTGTCCGCACGGTGCTGTGGCGGCGGCGCCCAGCGGCCGCTCGCGACCGAAAGCATTCCGACAGACAACACAATGCACGGCTATGCAACCACACTCACGAGTCACACCCGACGACGAGACGACGAGACGACGTTAGACGCGCGCGAGCCGCCGGCCCATTCAACGCGGCCGCGGTGCCCAAGCAAGAGCGAACGCCTCCCAGTCTACGTTAGACGCCGACAATTACGGTATCAGCAGCGCACCAGAGACGCGACAGCGCTGCATTAGAGCCGACCGAGCGGCCGACCTAGCACGGCCTTCCTCAGCACAGATCGCCAGAGGACCAGCAGCTTACGGCGGGCGTCCCAGCAGCCAGCACCTGAGAGGCGGGGCCGGGCGCCCCCCCCCCCCTGACCGGTCAGCGAGCCGGCGTCGCCGGCGTCCGCTTACCCGGAACGACATCTCCAGATTCTCGCCGCCCCAGATGTCCATGCCCTCGTCGTACGAGCCGACCTCGTAGAAGTAGTCCTGCAACGGACGCCGCGGCCCGGTCACCGTGACGACGGGGCGCTATGTGGCCAAGACACGCCATGTCCGCACATGTGCACTGCCCAGCCGTGCTACCACCACTGCCCTCCTGCTGAATGTGAAAGCACGCCAATGAACGGCACAGTCTCGCTCCCCCACCCCCCATCCTCCTCCCCCGACTGACCGTGTCGCACACACTCGCATCGTTGCCACACCTGGGCTCTGTGGATTGGTGTAAAGCGGCGACAGAACCCCCGCCCCCTGCCCCTCCACCTCGCCCACCGCTCCGCGAACAGGCCACACCTGTACTGCGGCGGCACAATTGGCGCGGACGACAAGCCAGACCCGGGCACCGCTCCCTCCCGGGAACCCAATCGGCAGAGTGGCCCGTGGACATGGCGCCGCGCCGCCGTCAAGTGCAGTCAGACCTACTGACACCTGCCGGCCTCCGACAGCGGTAATACATTACCACGGCACGGCTGGACGGCCGGTAGGTAATTAACCAAAACGAAATAGTGTGATTTGTGGCAATGGGCACGTGAATAAATCACAGCAACACCAGGGCCGTTGGAATCGCAGGCGATCTACTATTGTGCATGATGTGTGCATGACAATCCGCGCTAAATGCGCCAAATTAAGCATGAAATGGGAGAAAATATCCAACAGAAGACTATTGACATCAGTCCCAGGGAGAGTTGAAGATATGCGGTGCATCGACCGCACACCCAGCACCGGCCCCATCCCCAGCACCGGCCCCATCCCCAGCACCGGGCCCATCCCCAGCACCGGCCCCATCCCAGGCACTGACCGCATCCCCAGCACCGGCCCCATCCCAGGCACTGACCGCATACCCAGCACCGGCCCCATCCCAGGCACTGACCGCATCCCCAGCACCGGCCCCATCCCAGGCACTGACCGCATCTCCAGCACCGGCCCCATCCCAGGCACTGACCGCATACCCAGCACCGGCCCCATACCCAGCACCGGGCCCATACCCAGCATCGGGCCCATACCCAGCATCGGGCCCATACCCAGCATCGGGCCCATACCCAGCATCGGGCCCATACCCAGCACCGGCCATATTTCCTGAACCGGACCCAACCCCTATACCGTCCCATCCCCTGTACCAGTCCCAAACCCTGGACCGGCCCCATCTCCTGCACCGGTCCCATCCCCTGTACCAGTCACGTCCCATGTACCAGTCCCATCCCCTGGATCAGTCCCATCCCCTGGATCAGTCCCATCCCCTGTACCAGTCACGTCCCATGTACCAGTCCCATCCCCTGGATCAGTCCCATCCCCTGGATCAGTCCCACCCCCTGCACCAGCCGGCGTCTGATACCCTGTCAATGGAGAACAGGCCGCCAGCCATGGTGGGCGTGCGGAGCGGCGACGTCCGGTCTCCGTTCCGCCGGTCCATCTCCCGTTGTGGCACGCGGTACCTGGCGAGCACAGAGAACACAGTCAAAGCGCGGAACACGATGCCTAGCGAGCTCAGCGAACACAGCGTTAGCGTGGACACGGTACTGTCGGGCACAGAGAACACAGGGTCAGGGTGCGGGACACGGTACCTGGCGAGCACAGCAAACACAGGGCCAACGTGCGGAACTTTGCCTTTTACGGAACGTCGCGAAAAGCAAAGTACATACACCTGGCGAGCTGTGTACTACCCGATACCAAACATACAAACAGAGACACAAACAGAGATACACAGCCACTGTCAGTCAACACACGGCGGCTGGCGTACAAGAAAGGGGTGTAACTCGGCTCAGGTCCAAGGTACGCTCATCTGCTCGCTGGAAGTAGAACTAATAAGCAAGGCTGACACGCCGACCCCCGGAGCATGTGTCCCGAAGACGGCCGGTCCTATACACCCACGCCTGCCGGCGGCGCTCCCTCCGCACCACGCCCACCACAGCTGTCGCATGCACGGTCAGCCATCGATTAACTCCAGACCGCGCTGGCCACCGCTCGGCCACACCGTGGGACTCGCTGAGACCGCTGACCGCACGGTCACAACTGGGCTCTCCGGTCTACCACCGGCTGCAGATCTGCCGGCCAGACCTGGACTCCTCAGTCTACCACCGGCTGCAGACCTGCCGGCCACACCTGGGCTCTCCAGTCTACCACCGGCTGCAGATCTGCCGGCTACACCTGGGCTCTCCGGTCTACCACCGGCTGCAGACCTGCCGGTCTCTACCACCGGCTGCAGATCTGCCGGCCACACCTGGGTTCTCTGGTCTATCACCGGCTGCAGACCTGCCGGTCACACCTGGGCTCTCTGGTCTACCACCGGCTGCAGAACTGCCGGCCACACCTGGGCTCTCTGGTCTACCACTGGTTGCAGACCTGCCGGCTGCACCTGGGCTCTCTGGTCTACCATCGGCTGCAGACCTGTCGGCCACAACTGGACTCTCTGGTCTACCACCGGTCGCAGACCTGCCGGCCACACCTGCCGGCTCGAATCTACCAATCTACTTGGCCCAGCCATGTCGGCTACACTCCCACGGGCCGGCCGTGCCCGCCAGGGCAGCTACACTCCCACGGGCCGGCCGTGCCCGCCAGGGCAGCCACACACCGGCGGGCCAGCCGTGCCCGCCAGGTCGGCCACACACCGGCGGGCCAGCCGTGCCCGCCAGGTCGGCCACACACCGGCGGGCCGGCCGTGCCCGCTAGGTCAGCTCCACGGCCAATCGATCGGAGGGCGTGCTCTCTGGGACGGTCCGGCCGGCCGGAGGTCGATGTCTCATTAGCCGGCGGCGGGCGCGAGGCGCGAACAGTCAGCCCGTGCCGCAACAGGTCCAGAGGAGCGCCGGGACGGGGAGGACGGCCGGCCGGCCGACGGAGCCAGCGTCCGGCTCACACCGGCTAATGATGACCATTAGCGGACCAGCCGACGGTGATGCGTCACTGACGGAGGGCGCTATGGACGGAGGTGAGGACAGCGGCACAACACGGGAGCGGAGAGCACGGGGAGAGAGAGAGAGAGCACGGGGAGAGAGAGAGAGAGAGAGAGAGAGAGAGAGAGAGAGAGAGAGAGAGAGAGAGAGAGAGAGAGAGAGAGAGAGAGAGAGAGAGAGAGAGAGAGAGAGAGAGAGAGAGAGAGAGAGAGAGAGAGAGAGAGAGAGAGAGAGAGAGAGAGAGAGAGAGAGAGAGAGAGAGAGAGAGAGAGAGAGAGAGAGAGAGAGAGAGAGAGAGATATATATATATATATATATATATATATATATATATATATATATATATATATAATATATATATATAATATATATATATATATATATATATATATATATATATATATATAGATCGATAGATAGATAGGTCACAGGGGAGGAGGAGGCAGGATGAAAGACAAAACCAAACAGGGCAAAGACATGAACAAAAAGATAACAAAGGAGGAAGTCAAGAAGAGCTGACAATAACCGATTCCGGGATTCCGAGCCGCTTTGATCGACTGCCGGCCCGGCGGCCTTCATTGGCAGCGGCGGGGGAGCGTTTTTGTGCAGCCACTTAGATGTCTTACTGGAATGCGGCCCTGAAATAGTACTGCGGCTGCGGGAGCGTTCGTTGGCTGGGTATGGCGGCGAGCTCCGTCTGGGCAGCCGTCAGCCGTCTGGGAACAGTTCTCCGCCTCCATACCGGGCAGCTGCGTCAGTGGGCCCCCGCCGTGCGTGGGACGCCACGCCAGCCCTGAGTCTCCAGCTGGGACGGCCGCGGCCCGACCAGGGAAGACCAGCCAGCCGAGGGCTGACGAGCCGCTACCCTCCCCAACCACGAGCCGGACTTGGTGCGCTGCAATCTGGTATGGCACACGAATACATGCGTCGTATATGTATTTCTATATATATATATATATATATATATATATATATATATATATATATATGACACATACTACCATACACAACTATACGCCTTATATATATATGCTCTATGAGCCTAGAGGTCTAGCTCGCGTCAATTGTAAGCCTGAGGCTGAATAAAAGCATGTATGATTGGATGTGCCTTGCTCTGCTCTTCCCTCGTGTTTTTACTGGGCCGATCCATCCAGCCGCGAGACCACGAATTAGCAACGTGCGGAGGCCTATGCGCCGACTACATACTGTCGGCAAGACGGATTGCGCCCGTAATGGTGCGAGCAAGCCGCGACACTATGCATAGAGCTGTGTCGCTGCAGCGCCGCAGGGTCACTGAAAGTCGATGGAAATGGGCTGCCGCGAGCGCCGACAAACAGAGCCGCAGTGCGGTGCAGTCCAACCAACGAGGATCCGAACTATGAAGACGGACTGCCGAAGGACCGCCAATGGCCCTCCGTACGAGTCCCAGGCTGCGGGAACGAACAGGACCGATTTGTCCTTATATATAGACTGACAAGCCACAAAACCCTGCGTGTGTCATTAGGGCTTTGCGACGCACTCAGCTGCTGAGGCTATATGGCGTCGCCTGCCTCTCCACCCTGGCAGGACGAGCGAGCGGGCACCACGTGGAATCCAACCCCCGTACCTCTGGTTTCCCAGACGCGCAGTGGTTAACGCAGATGCGTTAACCACTACACTACCGGCACCCCTGCAAAAGCCTATGACGTTGCCAAAATGACACACTGCAGAAGCAGGCGGGATGTACGCTGCGGGACATCATCAATATATTTCAAAGGTATTTACTCGTGGTCACGCAAGGAGTCAATTATTGTGACGAAAAACACCGGCCTGGGTTTTGAGTATTGCATGCAACCTAGCCTGCGATGGCATCCCTCCACTGGGAGGCATGACTGACCACGTTCCCCCATCATGCGAGCGATGTTGGCAGCAACAGCAGACCGTTCGTGATGGTTCACACAAACAGGAAAACCCCGCGCGCTCCCTGCTCCAGCTCCGAGAGCGAAGAGCTTCCGTTTTCCGCTAGACGTCCCACACTAACGAGATAAGCGCGGGACGGCGGCCGGCAACCGAAAACCATATGTGATCGGAACGGTGGCCCCGATTACCCAGCCTAAACAGCGGACGGAGCGGAGCACAAACACGCGGCGGCGCGCTGCAGCACGGCCGGCCGGCCAGCTCGCCGCCTGCCCTGATACTGGCCGGCGGCCCGTCCCGACACGTGTCCGCTCCAGACTGGACGGCCCGACGGGCAGCGGCCGGTCCCGTCGCTCCCGGCTGGACGGGCCGCCCGAGCGGCTGGACGGGCCGCCCGAGCGGCCGCGCCGCCGCCCGAGCGGCCGCGCCGCCGCCCGGCGCCCGCGTACCGAAGGCGGCGGTCGACGCCTCTCAATGGCGCCCGGCCTTTCGCACCCACACATGCATGAATATGGAACGGCATTGGCTGCTCAAAGGTTCAGATTGAAGTCAATCGACTTCCATAGAAATGGATAGTGGCCAGAAGTCAATGAAGCCCGAATGGTATTGAACGCCATTCCGGGCCGTGTGTGTGTCGGTCTGTGTTCGTCAGGATGGCTGGGCGGGTGCCGGAGGTCCCAGCCGCTGCGCCTGTCTGCCTGTCCGGACGTGCAGTCGCGCCGGGATCGCGGAGCAGCGCGCCCAGGGCCCCCGGCGCAGCGCGGACGGGCGGGCGCGCTCTGCGCAGTTCGTGCGCGGTCGACACCCCGCCGCGCCGCGCCGCGCCTCGCCGGTGCGGCCGGTCTGGTCCGGTCCGGCGCGGCAGCCCGTCTGACCCCGCCGCGCCCCGGCCGGCCGCACGGGCCGAGGCAGGGCCGCGGGCCGCCCCCAGGCCCCACTCCAGAGCGGCCCCGGACGGGCCAGGGCCGATCCGTCCAAACACAAGTGGCACACGGCCGTCCCGGACGACTTTCGCCGCCGCCGCTTAACCTTTCGCCGGCACGCCCCGCTGTACGCTCGCGTACAGCGGAGCGTGCCGTACCGCGGGACCGCGGAGCGCGAACCAAGCGCGGCGCGGGGAGATCCAGCGCGGCGCCGATGAGTCGGCGGCGCGCACCGCGGGCGCGGCAGTCCGGCTTCACCGCGGGCCGTCCGGCCACACCGCCGCGGAGAGCGGCGACGCCGCCGGCCCGGCCGGATGCGTCCGCTCCGTCTGCCGGGACGGCCGTTCGCCAGGTGGCGTCACGCGTGATTCAGCCGGCACGCTGCGGTTCGACTCGGCGAAAACCAGATCTGAGCCGAGGCCGGCTCTCATAAAAGAAGCACGCAAAACTACGCCGCTCCAGATCTCGCCGCGAGAGGGCGTGACCCGCCGACGCGTCAGCATCACTGGCGCGCCGCACGCAGCGTGTCGGCGCATCACGGCCCGGCGAGACAAGCGGCTAGCTCAGTCACGACGGCATCCACGGCGGAAGGCGGGTCGGCTCCGGGCTGTACACACGCATGCACGCGATCACGTGGGAGTAACGATCAGTGGACGGAGCCGGATCTGATTGCGTCACGGCAGACGGCGGACAGGAAGGCAGCCGGGCGAGCCCCGCCGCGTGCGGGGGCAGGCCGGCTGACGTACCATCGGAAGTTGAGCTTCCAGTTGAAGCCGCCCCACGTCATGTCCGAGGCGGTGACGTACTCGAACGTGTTGTCCGAGATGACGTCAATGATGGGGCACACGACGGTCTTCCTGCGGCACGGAAGACACGCGGGGTCAGCTCGTGAGTCCGGCCTGTTTAATGACGCCCTGCCACGGCCTCGAGCAATCAGACGGCTGCCAAAAAACACTGCCGGTAAAAACGGACGAACAACCCAGACACGTAGCCTTGGCCAGTTAACCTTGACGATGCAAGCGCCTGTTCTCATACCTTTACGACGCACATCACAGTCCGCACACACAGTGTAAACATCCGGACGGCACCAAGACGGCACGACTCAGCGCGGAGCGACAACACGACGCCACAGGTCAGGTCCAGTTCAGACACGTCTGCACCCGATGCGCCATCCCCGGCCGTGCGTGGCCGAGCGTGGGCGGCTCGCTCCCCGGCGCCGGCGCGGTCGGCATCAGCCGCCCGCCCAGACCGCCGCTACCGTCCGGGGACGCCATCCGGCCACGCAATGCGGACATCGGGCCCCCGAGGCCACGCGCACGCCAAGGGAAGGCCACAGCCCCGCCGTGCGGCGCGTGGGAAGGTGACATTCCGTGGCGGGTCACCAAGGCCGCGGAGCCTTCGCGGTGCAATAACAGGCTGGTATTGACCGCGGGTCGCTTTTTGTGGAGTTCGCGGCGGAGTGATCCATCGATGAATACGCAACACCGGCAGTTGTCCTGATCGATGGCTTTCGTGGCATCCCATTATTTCCACACGCCACGTTGTGGGTAATAGTTTTTTTTCTGCACGTAACCGATATACTGAATATCGGTAGTTCCCTTACATCTCCATTAAATACGTCGAGAAGAAAATAGGTGAAGCGCCCAACTGACGCGGCCACCACGTTCGCTCACCTGCAACACCGTCGTTACACTGGTGTCGTGCGCCAGGTCGCTCGTCTGATGATAAGGCTTAAGTGCGTGCCAACCGCCGAGGTCATTCCGCATCCATCTGAAGGGACGGCAAGTGCGCCGGGGCCGGTGGCGGCAGCGGCGGCGCCCAGCCTCCGACTCGCCCAACCGGGGCCCAACCGGGGCCCAGCCGGGGACGCGAGGACGGGTCACCCGGCCCGCCGGCCCGCTCACCTGTTCTCGGCGATGCGCGCCAGCATGGGGTCCAGCCAGCCCTCGGTGCACTCGCAGTGGGCGTCCAGGAACGTGATGACCTGGCCGCGCGCGCGCTTGGCGCCCAGCAGGCGGGCGCGGATGAGGCCGGAGCGCGTGCCCGTGCGCAGCACCTCCACCGGCACCGGCAGGCGGGACACGTAGTTCTCCAGCTGGGCGCCCAGGAAGTCTGTGGTGGGGTGCGCCGGTGTCAATGGGCACACAGGCACGCAGAGGTGGGGGGGGGGGGGGGAGACGAGCCATGACGTCGCTGCACGCAGAGGGCGCGGCGAGCAGTACAAAGGTCCTGCAGAGAAGGGAGACGATCGGCAGCGATTTATTCTGCACTAGCCATGGCTGTACAGCCATCAAACAGAAAAAAGACAACGAACAGAGCAGGGCTGTGTAGTCCCTGCTCACAGCGGCAGGACACGTTCAGTATGCAGTGCAGCGGTATGTTTCACAGCTGAACAGCACGCTTTGAAACCCAGCCAAAGCTGAGACGCACGCCAATCCCCTACCCCATTATGAACAGCATCGCACGAGCTGACGGCAGTCTCATCTCGCACGACACTGGCGCGTTTGGACTTCTTGTTTGCGTGTGATGCTGACCTTGAAGTCTTCCGTAAGCGGTACGCAGCCGAGACGGGCCCCTGACACAGGGGGGGGGGGGGGGCACTAAATTACCGGTTAGCTCCCACCCCATCCAGCACAAACAGCTCTGAAGCCGAAACCAGTCCCCCGGTATGGCGGCGTCCAAACACGTTACACACGGCGGCGGTGGTCTGTGGCGGGAGCTGACCGGCCTGACGGGAGCTGACCGGAGTGAGCGGCCGCTCCCGTGCCAGGCTCCGAAGTGGTGTGCCCTTAAGTGGCGTGGCCGGGCGCCCGGTGCGCTGTCGCCCGGCCGGCCGCTGCTAACGAGACGGAAAGCGTCCTCGTCGCTGCAGCGGCCCCGCATCGATCCCGGGGCCGAGCCGAGCTGAGGCCGCGCCGCCGGCGGCCGCGCTGCCCGCCGGCGGGCCGCGGCCGGGCCCGAGGACCGGCCGTGGAGCCGCAGTTGACGGCGGCGCCGGCCTCCCGCCCGGCGGCAGGCGCTGGAATGTCGTGACGGCGCCGCGCCGCTGACCGCACGCCGGGCGGAGGCGGCTGCCTGCCCCGCCGGCGGTCTAGCTACCATGGTAGCCCCAGACCAGGTGCGTCGGCAGCCAGGCCCGTCTCGCTGGCGGTCCAGCCACCATGGTAGCCCCAGACCAGGTGCGTCGGCAGCCAGGCCTGCCTCGCTGGCGGCCCAGCCACCATGGTAGCCCCAGACCAGGTGCGTCGGCAGCCAGGCCTGCCTCGCTGGCGGCCCAGCCACCATGGTAGCCCCAGACCAGGTGCGTCGGCAGCCAGGCCCGTCTCGCTGGCGGTCCAGCCACCATGGTAGCCCCAGACCAGGTGCGTCGGTAGCCAGGCCTGCCTCGCTGGCGGTCCAGCCACCATGGCAGCCCCCGGGCCAGGTGCACCGGCGGCCGGGCCTGCCCCCAACCAGGTGTGCGGCCAAGCGGAATCACGTGCTCCAGTGCCAGACGCGCCGCACGCACGCACGGGTCGCGTCCGGCCGGCACGCGGCCCCTGTGCACAGGGCAGCGCCCGCGCCCAGACCCACGGCGGCGCCGACACGCGACCAGCGCGGTGGCCGTGCTCTCTGCGCGCGGCCGCAGCCGGGCGCCAGCACGGTTGCGACCGTGTAATGCATGACGCATGACAGCGTAGGCACGAGTCCCGACCGATTTCACATGGCTTGGCACAATGCAAATGGGCCGCCGCAATTTCCGGTCGGTTTTGCGGTCGGCCGGCTCCGTTGGACTCGTTCCCGGGGTGTCGAGTGACGCGCCGACAGCGCGCTGGCTCGCGCGGTCGGCGTCCGCCGCGGCCGGCAGCCGCAGCCCCCGACGCCCCGGTCCCGACACCCGGACCTGTCCCGTTATCCTGCGCCCACGACTCGCGCCGCCCGAGAACGGGGGGCGCCTCCATCTCAGACCCGTTTTGGGCACCGGGTGCCCGGGCCGGCCAGGTGACGCGTTCATCCACAGATAGTGGCAATGACACGTGCGACGGGCAACTTGCGAGGCGAACGGGCAGATCTATGCTGGTGTCGCAGAGCCGCACCGGCTTCAGGAAACGGCGGACCCGGAAGACAGCGCCACGTGGAAGTTAACCGATGGAACAGCAAAGCTTGCGAGGAGGAAAAACAGCGCCAGCGACTGCTGAAAGCGTTTCGTTCAATGGCGAGCAGTATTCCATCAGACATGATTTCAAGTTTGATGCGGTGCCCACAGCATCCCTTCATGGCCGGTTTGACGGGCACCGCCAAAGCTGCCTACTGGTAACCCGGTAGCCAGTAGATAACTGGGCGGCAGATAGCGTCCAGAGTCGGCCATCACCGCAACGTGGCCTGCACTGCCTCCACTGCAGCCTGGTGCTGGTGTTTCGTCAGCAGATATTTGTGGCCCGCTGGCCCACCTGTGCAGGAAACGGGCGTCTCGGTCCGAGGCGCCGGCTCCCGCCGCCGCAGTCGCCGCCGCAGCCGCCGCTGCGGACGATCCAGAGCCGCCGCCGGTGGCAGCTGGGGCTCTGGCGCTCCGCACCGTCCGGCCGTCCCCCTGGCCGGCTCCGCCAATCGCTGGTGACCTGCGTCTCAGGATGGCCTCCTGCCGCGCCGTGACCTTCGCCCGGGGGACGTACCTCGTTCGCGCCGTGCCGTGTCCTCCGCCTCATCTGACCTGTATCCTTACTCGTGCCGTGACCTGTATCCGGGGGACGCACATCGTTCGTGCCGTGCACCTTACCTGAACTGTACCTTACTCGTGCCGTGACCTTTTCCCGGGGGAAGCACCCCATTCGTGCCGTGCCGTGTCCCGCACCTAACCTGACCTGTACCTTACTCGTGCCGTGACCTGTACCCGGGCGACGTACCTCGCTCGCTGGCGTCGTCCACCAGGATGATCTCCTTGACGAGGGCGCGCGGCGACCGGTTGATGATGGACCAGATGGTGCGCAGCAGCGTGGTCCACGCCTCGTTGTGGAAGACGATGACGATGCTGGCAGTGGGCAGAAGCGGAGGGTACTTCTTACTGCGACACCTGGCAACAGAAGCGGTAACTCGGTCAGACACGGGCCGGCCGCGCGCCGAGTCGTTTCGACGCGCGCCATCTGCTGGCGCGATAGGCGTATCACCCGCGCGGTGAGCGCGACACGCTGCCGTCTGCGCGCCGGCCGAGCCTCCAGCCCGTCCCGCGACGGCCCGCTATCGGAGCCTGCCGTGAGAGGCGGACGGCTGCGTCGGTCCGCGCGCGCCGAGCCGGCGCTGGCGGCGTGGCGCCTCGATGCGCTCGTGGCATCTGGCTGCCGTGTCGCCGCCGGCCGGTCGGCCGAAAACCCCACCAGCGCCAGTCTAATCGGCGACATACAGCCCTCGCCGGGCATGGCGTGACATGACCTTGATAAGCGCACCACAATGCGTACTTCAAGAGCCGCGATTCCGCTTCAGACGGGGTACAAAGATCATCCAATAAACCAGATCATCATACATTACGTGGGGCAGACACCATGGCAAAACATGACGGCCCCCGCCCCTGCCAGCGGGTGATTGTCTACGTTACAGTGTTGCATGCTTTCTGTTCTAGCTAGCATGAATAACTGAGTGCCGCTTGCAAAATAATTAGCGGAATGGAACAGCGATGCAGCGGCGGCATGCAATACGGCCGCGTACAGAGGCCGCACTGGGACGGACGCGCAGCCTGAATGCGATGCATCCGAGGTTATGTCAAGCACGCAGGTGTCCTCGCTCGGTCTCTGTGTGCTTGCAGTGAATTGCCACCGGGGATGTGCACCTTGAATAACTTAAAACTGCGCGGCCTCCAGGGTTGGGCGGGCCACTCCCGTGCGCATACAATCAGCAGGTCAGCGACACGTCTGGCGTTGGAAAGCGTCGGACTCGGTGCACGATCCGCACGTGGTCGGCGGCGCGCACGCTGGAGATGCCCGGGCGACCAAGGCGACTTCACGACTGAAGCATGCTCATGAACCGCAACTGAGGCTTTCGTGCCAAACTGAGTCCAGGGTTTCCACACATTCCGTGTGATTTATACGAGAAGCACCCACGTGGGAGCGCGGCCAGCCGCCTGTGTGATTGAATGCCGTCCTAATCAAACCAACACAAGTGACGGCAGATTGGCAACGGACAACAGACGGAGTAAACCGGAACCCAGCCGAAAAGCCCGAGCCGCGCACGACTGCTAGCATTAGAACTGATGACGCAACAACACCACTAGTTTTCTATCAACATTTCAATGAAATTGTTTCATTTTGCTTCGAAGCTTTATACCCGCATTCGTTGATTACAAGAGTGTCTTTGAAAGATAGTTTCATCTCACGTGAGTGCTCCAACACGTATTCCACGTACCCCGTTTCACACATCACAACCATAAGGGGCGGGCCGTGTCATGCGTTGATACCCGTGTCGTGTTGCGCTGCAGTCACGAACTGAGTATCTACCCTCACAACTATCCTCTAGAGGTTAGAGCCTCCTTCTCAGTGTCCAGGAGCGCCGCGCACCAAATGGTGCTTTAATCTGAGTTCTTTCGCCGGCTAATGGAGTTTTAATGGAGTTTTTTGCCAACCGCACGATGTCTGCACGCGAAATCTGCACGAGTGCAGGACACTTAACGAGTTCAGTATTATACATAGTGCATCATGATACGGCCAATGGTTCAGCATATTCAGAATATTGCACTGCACTAGCATTTCAAGCGGGTTTCAAGTGCGCATTACAGAATAACAACTACAGGTTAAGTGGAATTGCGAACTGGCTAGACTCCTTGAGCGGCACGCACATTACGAGATAGATTGTATCAACACCTTGAGACGACGCAGCTCGAGCGAAAGCACCGGGTTACTCCCAGAAATAAGCACACTATTACTTTTCACACCAGTGAGCAAATACACATGTTTGTGCCTGATTTTACCGCTTTAAGTTTTCGAGCCAGACACGGGCACTGTGATGGGCGAAGCACAACTCAAACATGAGTTTCGGTGACAACTGTAGCATGACCACGAAATTTTTGGGCATGCCGTGTCTACAAACGCGAAACAAGCGGAACGTTTTTTTCAGAGGGACAAATTAGACAAAAAGACTATGGGCTGTTTAGTAGACCTTGCTTCATGTTCAACAGCAAGCAAATGTACTACATACTTTGGTCTCACAAATACAGAAAATGTGGTTGCTATCAGCACGAACAAGCCATGCAACTCACACACGCCACACGAGGAGACCACAAGTTGTTGCAGTCATAGATTGTGATAATGCAATCCGTCAGGTTCGTCCGACCCGCATCGATGGTTACACGACAGGGCGTGAGCTCGCGGGCATATCCAATAACATAAATAAACAAAAAATACGATATATATATATATATATATATATATATTATATATATATATATATATATATATATATATCGTATAATATAATACCAAAGACATAAATTATTTTGATATGCGCATATCCATCATCTACCATATATATATATATATATATATATATATATATATATATATATATATATATATATATATATATATATATATATATATGTATAGGTAGGTAGATAGATAGATAGATAGATAGATCGATAGAAAGAAAGATAGATCAAACAGCAAGACCTTATCCTCCATATCCCCTCCGCCACCTGCTCACGCACCCCTACCACTGCGCACATCAACCATTTCCAAAACCTTAGCATATATGTCGACCCACATCAGCCCAACGGTCTAGTCTGCACTGCCGGGGGAGGGGAGAAGGTCGCGGCGTGAGTGCACCGAGGTCACAGCAGTTACGCTCACAGAGGGCCGACGGCGTGCGGCGCTGAGCGCTCGGCGTCGTTTCCTGGGACGAAGCTGTTAAGCGGCAGGTGGCCCACCGCCACCATCCAAGGACCGCCGGCAACGGGCCGCAAAATCGAAAGTTTTCGCGTGCCTAGCAGAGCAGACAGTGTGGGACATCTCGTGACATCCACGCGGATGCCCGCAGAAACAGACAGCGCGCCAGGCCAGAGTGGGCGAACTCAGTTCCGGTACGCGCGTGGCGGCCTCGACCTGCCCGCAAATTGCCACTTGACACGCCGAGTGAAAACACCGAAACTGTTTCATGACCATTTAAGGATTATGTCATCTATTTCGAATGTCGTCAACACCGGTAACCGGTATTGCCTGTGAATAACTGAGACATTCGCTGATATCAAGCCACGCCGCGTCGCTGGGCACCCGCCCTGTTCCGGCCGTGGCCGCAGGTCGGAGCGCACCGCCCTGGGGGCGCCGGTGAGGGGCGAGAGCCGCGGCGACCTCCGACCGGGCAGACACGGGACACGGCCGCTCGTCCCGCCCCGCCACTGCGGCACCGCGTGGCGCGGCGGACGTGTCGGCACCGCCGCCGCCCCAGCCTTTCACCTCGCGGGTGCGGCCAGCGACGGCGCCCCGGCCGACTGCTCTGGTCCGGCAGAGGCTGGATATCTGACAGCTAGAGGACAGCGCCCAGTCCGGCAGAGGCTAGAGGTCTGACAGCTAGATGACGGCGTCCCGGCCGACTGCTCTGGTCCGGCAGAGGCTGGATATCTGACAGCTAGAGGACAGCGCCCAGTCCGGCAGAGGCTAGAGGTCTGACAGCTAGATGACGGCGTCCCGGCCGGCTGCTCTGGTCCGGCAGAGGCTGGATATCTGACAGCTAGAGGACAGCGCCCAGTCCGGCAGAGGCTAGAGGTCTGACAGCTAGATGACGGCGCCCCGGCCGGCTGCTCTGGTCCGGCAGAGGCTGGATATCTGACAGCTAGAGGACAGCGCCCAGTCCGGCAGAGGCTAGAGGTTTGGCAACCAAAGGACGACGCCCCGGCCGGCTGCCTCGGTTCGGCAAAGGCTGAAGATCTGACAGCTAGAGGACAGCGCCCAGTCCGGCAGAGGCTAGAGGTCTGACAGCTAGATGGCGGCGTCCGGCCGGCTGCTCCGGTCCGGCAGAGGCTGGATATATGACAGCTAGAGGACAGCGCCCAGTCCGGCAGAGGCTAGAGGTCTGACAGCTAGATGACGGCGTCCCGGTCGGCTGCTTCGGTCCGGCAGAGGCTGGATATCTGACAGCTAGAGGACAGCGCCCAGTCCGGCAGAGGCTAGAGGTCTGACAGCTAGATGACGGCGTCCCGGTCGGCTGCTTCGGTCTGGGATAGGCTAGAGGTATGACAACCAGAGGACGGCGCCTGCCGCAACGGAGCGGCCGCGGCCATCGCTCATGTTCGGGATCGGCCGGCGGCAGCGGACGGCCCGCTGGCCCTACACGATACGGCTCCTGGCACTAGACGGCGGCAGCGTCCCACCAGACGTCCACGGACATGGCACCAGATATCTATGGCCATGGCACCAGACGTCCGTGGCATCTCACCAGACGTCCACGCTCATGGCATCAGACGTCCATGGCCATGGCACCAGACGTCCGTGACCATGCGACCACACGTCCGTGGTCACACATGGGACCAAAGTCCGTGGTCACGGCACCAAACGTCCATGGCAATAGCACCAGACGACCGTGGCCACGGCACCAGACGTCCGTGGCCATGGCGCCAGACGTCCGTGGCATGGCAACAGAAGTCCGTGGCCATGCCATGAGTCCACGTCATCAGAGACCGGATCTTACTCACCAAAAGCCTTCAACACGAGTTTACCACAGCCCGGACGTCATAGCCCTGTTATCCTACGGTGGCAGGCTCACCAAATACTGTCGCTGCACTGTCATACGTCGTGACCCCGCACCCATCCGTGTGGATGTGCCGGCCCCCTTTATGACCGCGGCCCCGCGCCCCGATTACGGCGCGCGAACCCGCTGGAATGTTTAAGTCACAAGGCCTTGTGAGGGAGAATGTTCTGTAACACAGTCGAGGGTGTTGGTTTGCGAATCGAAAGGTACCCGGCCCGTGGCTTGGCACTCGTTGTTATGGCTTCCATACTGCGGTCGGAGCGGGGAACCACGACAAAAGCTATTATGGGAGCATGTGTCGCAAACGAAATGAAAGTTTTCTTCCAACTTGTCCCGTTGTGCGGT